GAACTTTAAACTTCAAACGTTCGTTCCAGGAATTCCTAAGAATATGTGGCGGCACTTGACAGTAAACTTCCCAACAGTTTGCGTCGCGTGACGCACGACACAAAGACCCTATACCTGCGGACAAGATGATTGCCAGATGTCGATACATTCGTACCGAATATTTCCAGCTAGCCTAAGGAACGCTATAAATCTTAGGATTTATTTTAGCTAAGGTCCTCCAAAGAGACAAACAGTCTTTGTTTATCAGTCTCGAAGTCGACCACCTATCACGGGGACACACGAGAAATCTGCTATCTCTCACGTACGATGCTTCCCGCTAGCAACACCCTCTCAAGGGCAGCTAGCATCCTTTTCCAACGACCAACACGAATTAGCCAATAAACATTAACGTACATTTCCCTCACTTTCCGAACCAAAGCTTTTCTCAACGAATCCGATGCCTTCGCATCCTTAGACACATCCCAACGCAGTCTTTCTCCGCAGCAGCATCGCGACAAAAAAGTCAGTCTATTACCGCGAGTCAACATATCACGATCGTTATACTTACACGGTCCGAGCCAAATAATTATCTAAGCTCTCGACATCTCGCGCAATCATTGTCCGCACTCGCAGCGCATCTCGAATCGTAACTATCCAAGCTCTATCTTATAACCGCGCATTCGCGAACCGAATATAATCGCGAATCCTGCGTCAACTGTGCTCGTTGACATTAGAGTGAATAAACATTTATCGTTCAATAAATCTGAGTTTTCCTTCCGACCCTATCACGACATTCCACCTCAAATAAATAAATTAAAGTGATAAAAAAGGTTTGAGTTTAAACTGTCACGTCCCGCGCCCGCACCATCTGTAGCGCGAACTTAAAATTGGTCATTTCTTTCGATTCAGGGTAATTTAAAACGTTTATTTGAAACCGTGTTTACAGTATTTGAAGTGAAAGGCAGTTAAAGACTCTAAAAACTACTCTATCTTGCGATAAATTTATCTATGTTTTTATAATTACCTAACTATGTTTTTATAACGATATTAAGACAGTTTAAAACTGTAAAGAAAGCAGGCAGTTTGAACAAACGTTGGGGACCTTCCCAAACATTTGCAAAAGAAAGACCCCGACGTTTTTTCATCTCCGACAGATATAAATAAATGTAGTTACTCATAGAAGTCAATATTAATTAATTACCGTTCGTCAACCAAATAATTACCATTCATCTACCGAAGAGTTAGTTATCATTTTGTCAATCGAAGAATCACCATTTTGTCAAACGAAGAATTTTATATCCGTCTAACTAAATAGAACGTGACGTAAACATTTCCTAATACGAAAGATTAACTAAAACGAGAAACATCCTTCCGACAAAATATACAACACGATTATTATATTTGAAAAGAAGAAACTAAACAACGTAAAGTTTCGAAGAGTTCAATAACAACGGATACAATGAGAAAGTTGGACGAAGATCAGACGTGTCAACGAGGAAGGAGGAATGTCGTGCAATAAACCCGTCGCCAAAAAGATCATTCGTGGCTAGGAGATTGTAGCGCAATAAAACGAAGAAGGAAGTTAAAAAGTTCTTACGCGAAATTATATTGAATCTCTGGAAGAGAGGTCAGCGAACGCTGGCACGTGTAACAACGTAACAAGCGTTGTAGGTGTCACGTCGAAGACACAAGAAATCACGAAACCGATAGATCGCCGGTGATCTTGTCACGTAAACCTGAGGGTTGGGTGATAAAATAACTATAGCTGAGTCGTAACACAACTATTAATTTTGTTTTAATTGAACTTTATTACAAATTCAACAATCAAACTGGAATACAAACTGAATTAACATAAATTACAATTCACTTCATCCACGTTATGTAAAACTTAGTTACAACGATACGTTAAGTACGCGACTGTTATAAGGATAGAGACCGGTAAAGATATGTTGACTATTCTAAGGATACAGAATAAGTGAAGTTTTACTGACGATACTGTGTCTGAGGAAAGCTAGGGGTGGGCGCGTCTAAGGGCACGGGACTATCGGATTTGTTGATGACAATTTTGGTTAAGGAAGTGAGGGCAGTAGACACCGTCTACGATTGGATAATAAGACGGTTGGTGGACCAGGAAGTGTTGTAGCCGCCCTCGTGAGAAAGTTGCTAACGGAACATACCAGACGTGAGGAAAAACTAACTTTCCGTGTTAACCCATAGTAAACAATAAACGTAAAAGGAAACCTAAGACAAGAGATACTCGCTTGGTCCGACTATGAACTATGAACCATGAAAATTTCAAGACCCCCGGTGGGTACTCAGGACTATTGAGGGTACGCGCCAAGGATGTGATGACATCTGGGCGCCATCCTGTCCGCAGTGTGTGCCCTGGTCTCTGATGTGAATTAACGTTACAATCTCCTTGCGTCGCAGTTCGAACGTTTCACGAATAAGGTGAAGAAATTGAACTTCGTATAAGATAATGGAAATTTTATTATATAAATCCAACATAGTGGCGGTTCAAAGTGTTACAACAGAATAAAAGTGTTGAGCGCTAATTTAGGAGGGTTTTTATATTGAGGTTTTAGTCCCTTTGGAGGGGTTATCGTCGGATGTGTATCAGAGGCGGCTATTCAGTTACTGTTTTGTTATTATTTCGATTGCTGTGGCATGCAGGATGTTTCGTCTACTTGATCACTGTTTCTGAGCGGGTGGCCTTTCTTGAGCGTGTGACATAGGCACACGCGCGACTTTGATGATCGATGAGTCGATTAAGATTTGCAACCCATTATACACGGAGATGCTTAATTTCGATTCGGCGGGCGCGTGCGCTTGCCCTTGTACAGTATGAACAAGTAGAGCGCTATTAGAAAACATTCTTATCATAACGCGAATTATGCTGGCATCGTTTCTCTCTTCTTCCCTTGCTGCTTCTTCGATATTTAAGTATTTTTTGTTAGCCGAGCCAATCTGATATTCATTTAGTAACCTTGACAGATTTTTCGATTTTAGCGTGTATTGGGATTTGAAACAACAGATTTTAGAGTTTCAATCTATTACGAAGTAACATTTCCAGGCTGAAATTATTTACGGAATAATGGGACGACTTGGGAACTAAGATTAGAAATCTATTTCAAACTGCGCATACGCTTTTAAAATATTCAAATAAAAGTAAATGTCCATTTTCGTAACTGTAGCTGCACATGAGTAGAGGACAAGTCAAATCATGTTGTTGTTTTGCCTCGGAGTATCAAGATCGTTAGGACACATGTAATGTAAGAATAAATAGACTCCGAGCAAAACAATGTCGCCGCGACGCGCAACCGTCGAACAAAGACGAATTTGAATTTTCCGACTCCCCCCGACCAGTGTAAATAAATCGACGCAACCGAAAAGAGTTGAGTATCTACGACTATCTTTCTGTTTCGACGAGCTATCTAAGTGTCATCACGAGTTATCTACCGAGTTATCGACGTGTATGTAGAGAGCATTTATTGAGTATTAATTAACAATTTTACTTCACGATTTATACTCTGTACGAGCGACTCAACAAATATAGTCTTTATATCTATTTATTATTTGTAAATATATTCGACGGTTACGACAACAAGCAATAACATCTAATAAATCTCACGATCAAACATCCTATACATATCAGTCCTCTATAAGACAGTGCAGAAAAGTCGGATACCTTCTTCATATTTCAAAGCAAATATCGATAAATATGCAGTTAATAAATTCTATTCCTAGTCTTACTTCCGTTACTTACTTCCGTCCTTACTTCCGCAGCCTAAGAACGAAAATGTCGAATTTAGTAAAAATCGATTATTTCGTGTCCAAGAAATATGTTTACGCGTTCTACACGAATTCTATTTAAAGATATCAAAAGATCACGGCGTGACGTAGGGGAGAATGTAAATTAGTAAGCTAATTAGTAAGCTGTCATTTGTGTGGATTATTATTTCAGTAAAAATATCAAAGAGGACTCGTATATTGTACTTGGAGATATGAGTGGATCTGTCGAAGTCATGTCTTTTAGCCCAATAGAGGAAGAACCATTTAAACAAGAACCTAAACGAGATAGTTTATTTATTCGCTATGAATCTGTTCTCAAGGTAAATAATTTATCTTCAGAAACTTGTGTCCTCGCATATGTTAAGTATGCGCAAGAACCAAAACTCACACAAAATCACAGTCTACTCGATGATCGATATCATCAAATATTTTTGGCATTTCGAAAGAAATTCTCGGTCAAACGTCTTCAAGTTCTCATACGTGATATACATGTAAAAGATATCCTAGGACAGATAGATGTATCTCTGGTTCTGTAGTATTCTATATAAACTTCTGCTTCCTACATAAACATGTCTTAATACGTTGTAACATACATTATGGGGTGAACTGAAAGGATTGAAAATTGCAGAATTTAAGAATGTATATACGGATTGGATGAAACAAGTAACCTATTATGGAAGTTTAAGAGCTTTCATGTTCAGCAGTAGATGTTGTGACTGTTCTTTATTATTTAGTGATCTTACAGGAGCAAGGATTTAATACAAATTCAAAGTTAACATGGGAATATCTTGCTTCACCTTTTGCGATGGCATTTTAGCATAAACTTTTCCTCGCTTATTGACGTATATGTATGTTGTAAGTACATCGTACCTTTTAAAAATATATCTACTTAGAGGGTCAGTTATTAATAACCAGTAGACCAGATTGCATAGTGCGGGTTTGGAATCCTTTCGTGACTAGAAGAGCAAATAGTACATTCCAAGGTCATCGTGCACCTATTTGTGGCTTAGTTGTACAAGATGCTGGTAAACGCTCTTTCGAAAGATAGATGTATCAAAGTGTGGGATGTATTAACTCAATTTTGTATTCAGGTTTTAATAATAAGATATCTCATTAGAAGATACTTTTCTCAAGTAATATTTCACCTAAAGAAATAAAAAAGCATTAATTAAAAATAGCAGTATAAGATCTATGTATAATTAGAATTTAAGTCAAGTTATTTTATACAGACATACAATTGGGTGAACAGCGAATTGGGTGAACATACATCAATGGCAGTGGCGTACAATACATTGAATTGTAAAATGATCATTGCTAGCTCAATGATCGCAGCGATTCTTTGCGATCCTGAAGTCAACAAAGAAATATCTGATGGTTTTACACATACAAAATCTATCGGCCGCGTTTTATATAACCATCTCTACAAAGTGGTAATTTGTACGCTTTGTATAATTTTTATTTTCTACATCTAAAGAAATGAAACTATTCTACGAAATCTTATAAAAACTTAGGTAATTATGACAGGATTAGATTCTTGTATAATGCCAACGCCCATGCCGCACTGAGTGCACTCGTTCCCGTAGCTCCGCTCCCCAGCGGCTTAAACCCAAAAATTGTATTAAACTCGGCAACTTAAATTGTATTAAAATTGTATTAAAATTGTATTGTGTAACTCGGCGGTAAGAACAGAGCATCGCTCGCAGCATTCAAGATTTCCAAACATATCCTACCGCCACGTATAGGCAATAGGAAGCTACGTCTGTATATCCATTATTAAACTATGTCTTGTTCCTTGACAATGTTTCAAATCAACCAAAAAGTTTAAGAGAAAACAGTGCTTGCCCTCCTTATAAATGAAATATCATAATGGAACTTTCGGGCAGCCAACTATATCAGGCCAACTGACTCAGAGTTCAAAGTAATTACCCGTGCTTCCAGGTTTCTTCCTGGAACACGACTTGGCAAGTAGATAGCTGCCACTATAAGGCATTATCTAAAATAGATTTGAATCGCGAGAAAATTTCGGAAATCCCCCAAAAACATCTCCAAAGTAACAGCCCAACAATGGAACTCACTTAGAGCAGTCTCTATTTCTGTCAACAAACAAGGGATCCGTAATGTGGCGACCTCTACTCGAGGTTGCGAGTGGAACTGGAGCATCGCGCCTGGAGACATATCGACTCGCACAGCAACATGGCGTCTCGAGAACCAAACTTGGCAAACAGCCATTTTGTCGGGAACTTTCGCTTAGTAAATTCCTCCTATTCCAATTTATTCCATGCTGTTTACCCTTGTGCTTGGAATGGATTCACTCTCCCAATCTGAAACTAACAGGGCGATAGGCCAATAACAAAAAGTGAAGAGAATAATACTCTTAACAATGCAGCTTGTTATATGGCTCTCGATACACCGTAGTACCCTTTCAGCTCCATAGGTGTCACACGGTGCTCAAATACCTAACTGTCGTGACTATGATCGTTAGTATATCGTTATGACGATAATCCACAGATGGCACGGCACGTTTCGTATACTCGTCTAATACTACATATCGTAACTTGTACGTACAGCGTATTGGTGGCACCACCAATTCGTATATCGCCATCAGGCTGATGATTCTATAACTCTGCCCTGAGTAACCGGGCCCCCATACCAAGATGGCGACCGCCTGACAGACCCGTGCGCGTCTCTTCACGTCGATACTGTCACGTTAAATAACACAAAAGAACACCAAAAAAAAAAGAGAAAATAGAAAAAAAAAACTTTATTTTTCTTCTATCACAATTCACAATTTTTACTTCCGAGCTCTAAGCGTAACCTTTTAAGACTGACTCTTACAACTCGACTTCCGATCAGATTCGGTTATTTGTCTTTTGTCACCCCTCAATATCCCCACTATCCTTGAGTTTGTTAGGCATCCGCGATCGCCGCGGAAGGATTGTTAGGATATTGATGGCTCATTAGGCACTTCGGTGATGTAGATTGTCGCCGAGTGCCGCCACATCTTTATCTCCGATTTTAAAGTGAGGCGGTCGTGACAGCGGCCTGGTTTCTGATGTGGATTGACGTTACACGTGCGCAGAACTTCTTCTTGTTTTCCACATTGATTTTTTATAACTAGTCGAGACTAAATTTCCAGATTTTCCCTAGGCTTCGGTATATGAGTGTCGAGATCTTATATGACCGCGGAATAAATTATAGAATAAATTCTTGTTTACGTTACCTTTCGATTGAGAATCAGTGGCTTAAAGTCAAGTTCACAATGAGTAATACATTTGTCTTTTCGATCCATTTTCATTAAAAAAATGTTATATCTTTTACATGGGATTAAATGTTTTCTAAATTGTTTAAATTTAAATAATACGTGCTTTTTTTATTGAAGATTCAAACAAAAATTAGTGTACATACATATAATTTCCTTAACGACATTTCAATTTATTTTATTCGTCATATAACAGAGAAATAGTAACGATAATTAAGCCATAAATTAGTATTGTTCACAAATTATTAAAATAATTTAATGAAATTTGTTGTAGAATACCATGTGTGGTAGAACTATTCTACTATAGAATGTAGGGGATTGGCGAACTACTGCACAGCCGCGGTAGTTTCGCATTTGTGAATATAAAACGTTTATAAGTGCGATGTTAAAAGTTGCGTAGAAGCTGTCGTAGTGAATAAACGAATTTGCAGAATATTTCTTGATAATATTATCGCGTGTTTATCAATTACACAAAGTAAAGTGACAGGATGTCTACCACTAATCTTAATTCTGAACAAGAATACAAGAATTACATAGAATTAGTGAATATAAAACGTTTATAAGAGCGATGTTAAAAGTTGCGTAGAAGCTGTCGTAGTGAATAAACGAATTTGCAAAATATTTCTTCATAATATTATCGCGTGTTTATCAATTACACAATGTCTATCACTAATCTTAATTCTGAACAAGAATACAAGAATTACATCAAGTGAGTAATTCTAAATAATAAGTAATTCAGTTTCTAGAAACAATATAACCTAGTCGATGAATATCATTTAATGTTTAACATATTATTGTATAAAAGATTCAGTTAATCTCAATTCAATTTGACTCGAAATATTGTTCAAAGTAGCAAAAGAAAATATTTTCTATTTTTCTTTTATGATGAAATAGATTAAATATTGCAATATAACAAAAGATAACTACGACTTTATATTATTTTCGTTCGATGTGAAAAAGTTCACAATTCACAATTTTTTATCGATGTAATTCTGTGATAAACTAGGGAAATTGCTAAGTCGGTGATTTTCAAAGTCATGTTCGTTTGTTGTGTCAGGTCACAAGATCTTTCTGTCATTCGTTTCTACGCATCCTGGGCCGATCAGTGTTCGCAAATAAATGATGTGATCGAAGAAATGAGCAAACTAGCCGAGTATCAGGCGGTTAGGTTCGCCAAGATTGAAGCTGAAAAAATACCTGATGTATCTTGAAAGCTGGTATCAGTGCAGTACCAACAGTTGTTCTCACAAGAAATAACACCATAGTCGATAGAATCGATGGAGCTAATCCTGCAGCTATAACGGAGAAACTTAAGCGCCAATTATTGACCAATAAAGATTCTATTTCGTTTGATACATGTAAACCTGAAGAAAAACTCGAGGAAAGACTAAAGAAATTAATAAATCAAGCGCCCTGTATGATTTTCATGAAAGGATCTCCTACCATTCCACGTTGCGGATTTTCTAGAACAATAGTCTCTAGCCAACGCCCTGGCCGCGCTGAGTGTACTCGTTCCCGTCAGATCACGAAAGTTAAGCAGCGGCGGGCACGGATAGTACTAGGATGGATGATCGCCTGGGAACTCCGTGTGGCGT